CCTTGCCCCGCTTCCCCAATCTGTCCCAGCCCCTGCCTGGGTCCCTGCGAATGCCCAGGTTCAGGTTCCAATCCAGGCCCCCTATTCAGTCCAGGTCGTTGGCCTGGTCCCCGTCCTCACCTCAGCCCGTATTCCACCCCCTGTCACAAATTCCTGCCCAGCCTTTGTCCCCACCTCATTCCCAGCTTTTGCTTAAACCCCTGGCCCAAGCCCGACTCTGGCTCCGTTCCCCTTCACAGACCCTCCTTCCACCACACTCTCTGTCCTTGTTCAAGCCTCAGTGCTCGGCCCAGCCCAACCCCTTATCTCAGCCTTTACCCTCATCTCTGTGTTTGCCCTCAACTCTTCCACTGGCCCCCCGCCTCTCTCATACTCTGCCCCTCTCCCAGCCTCGACTCAGGTCTGGGCTCCAGCTGCCGCCAGCCCTATTGCTGCTGTTGCTGTTCTCTGTCCTTGGCCCGGGGGCTGGTGAGTGCAGAAGCAAGAGAGACTGAGAGAAGGAGGGGTTCTAGCAGGGAGGGGAGGGCTGGAAAGGTTCAGGAGAGGTGGCACCTGGAGAGCTAGATCAATAGGAAGGACGGGGAGAAAGAAGGAGTAGAGAGATCTTACACAACAGAGGAATCGGCAACATCAAGAGTGGTACAGGGTGCGTATGTGCGTGTGCGGGGTGGTGGTGGTGGTGGTGGTGGGTTGAGGTGATCAACAGACTCTAGGATAGAGCCTTTATTTTGTTTCCTGGTGTCCATCATGACCCCACTTGACTCTGGTTTTCTAGGGAAGTTTTGAGGGCTTTGGTCCTTCTGTTCCTAAAGTTTGCTTGGGGAGACGTAGGCCCACACCAAGAAGCCTCTAGTCCAGTCTAGGAAGATATGGTATAAACCTTTGAGAGATTGGGCAATGCATATCAAATAGGGTATAGTTTGAAGATAACATGTAGCAAACAGATGGATATAGAATAGTAGTCAAATTATAATGACTTTTTGGGGGGAGGTTTGACACAGGGTCTCACTATGTAGTTGAGTCTGACCTGGAACTCACTATGTAGCCCAGGCTGGTCTCGAACTCCCAGCAATGATCCTGCCTCAGCCTCCCGAGTGCTGGGATTACAGGCATACGCCACCACGCCTGGCATGACTTTTCTTCTTGAAATGACTTTTCTTTTTTCCAAACAAGCTTGATTTTGCCTATGAATAATTCCTGATACTTTTAGATCAGAGTTGTACTGCAAAGGTCATTTTACAGATAGGGAAATTGAGGTTCACTGAGGGAGCAATTTGTTTAAGGTCATACCATATATAAATGATAGTGCTGGAGCTAGAAAAGTGGTTTCCTAACTCCTCTCCTATACCCCCACTCCCACCCCAGTTATACACAGTAAAAAACCGGACCCAAGTGGGGAAAGACCCAAAGCTGTTTCTTTTCTCTCTAGTCACCCATAGGGAGCTTTGTCTACAAACTGTTTCCCACTTGCCAGGTGTCACCATCCAGTCCAGAAAGTCACTTGGCTAGAAGTGGGAGAAGCCCACCTCCTCAGTGGGTAGAATGAGGGAGGAGGGCAGGGTATGTGTCAAACAACTGATGACCTCATTGTGCAGTGACTGTGGTCTTCATAGTTCAGCCTCCTATGCTGGGCACAGTCTAGATAGGATAAAGATGTGCCCTACTGAGCCATTGGCAGTAAGAACTAATAGAGCAACTGGGGTTGGGCTGGGTTTCATTGAGCTCAGTGGGCCTAGTTCAGTGTAAAAGCTTGAGAAGATCAGTGCACACCAGAGGTCACAGCCTCTACAGAGATGTCTGGGTGCTTTTTTGCCACTGTGTTGAAAGACCCATGCGAATTCTGGCCTGTGCAGTGTGTGCACATGCTTGTGTGTTGGTAAATCAGGCATGTGTACTGTGTGGGGTGCATGTGAGCTAATGTGTTTTCTGAGTTCCGATATTGCTGTGTAAGGGTGAGGGCATTTGTGGTTCGGGCACATTCTTCTTCAGCTTTGCCTGCTAATTATATGTTCTGTTCAGAAGTGGATAGTTCCTATGTTGAAGGCAGTGTTGGGTGCCTCTCCCCTCATATAGAAGTAACCCATCCATCTCTAGCCAATCTCCCAAAAGGAAGAAACCATAGAGTGAGGGGAATTTCAGTGTTTACTACTACTGCTGACAAATTGGGAACTCAGAAGAGGCAGTAGCCTGTCAGGTTTTCAGTTTTGGTGAGGGGAATCCATACTAATTAGGCCAATATGTAGCTTCTGTCTGTACCACTGTGGTGGCTTCTTTATTCATGAGCCCATTGAGCAAACACTGGCCTGGAAAGAGGAGAAGTCACAAAATATACAGACCTGAAAGTTGTAGATAAAGATAGTTAACCAGAAGCAGATTTGATGCTTTGGAGAGAATTATAATGAAGTTGGAAAAGAGCAGTGTATAGGTCCAACTGCAGGCAGGGTTTCCCTTAGTACTGTTAATCAGTGCTGTGACCTAATGGTGGTGATGGATTTTACCTGAGGAGTAGTGGGCAGTATCATAGGACCATCACAGCACAGGTTTGAACAAATCTTTAATGTTGGCTTCATTCTCATTTCAGGAATATAAACCTCTTTCTGGGTTTTCCGGTCCTATCCCTGATCTGTGGGTTTAGCTGCCTATGGTTGATAACCCTGGGATGCCTTGCCATTCCATGTAATGTTTTTTTGTTCTATCTAGTGCTATCAGGAGCAGGGCCAGCATCTGTCTCTCTGTCTCTCTCTGTCTGTGTTTTGTATAGTGGGGTGAGCCACTTAGCTTCATCATAGAAATAATTAGGACACTACAGCAGTTTCGTCTGAGCTTGGCTAGGACTTTGCTTGTTCTTTCTTTGGACATAGCTCTCTGGTAGTCCCTGTTCAAACCCTAAATCAAAGCTTGGAGTAAGTGGGCTATGGACCGTTTCTCAGGCATCTGCTCCCAGAACATCATATATGTTCCAGCATTCCCAGCTGATGCTCACTCTTTTCCTTTGTCAGCATATTCTGTGTCTGTAGACCCTGCCACTTTGGGAATAGCTTAACTAGTTCCCCAGTTCTTTAGGCCATGCCATGGTTCTTTGAATCTCAGTGATCTTGTGCTTGTCTGTCTATGTTTCCCAATGGTCGTTAGCTGCTGTTCATGTTAGCTCTCTGAGGATCTGTACTGAGGGACTGACCTCAGTACATGTCTCCTAACAATAGCCATGGTTTATGAAATGAGCTACATTTTGAGGAGGAGCAACTCTTCCTTATGGCCAGCAGAGAGCGCTCCAGAACTCTTATTTTTAAAATTAAAAAAAATTTTTTTATAACAATGGTATCTGGGCTGTTCAGCTCTTGACATTTGTCTTTCTATTTGTCACAGGCTGGGCCCCAGGAGAACCTATCTTCCCCATCAGCTGGTCCTGTTGCCCTTCATCTTTCATAGATACATTTCCTCTGTTGCTGTGTTGATCCTTTCTGGATTCCTGAGCAGTGCTCAGCTTGCGAGTTAGCAGGTCTTCTCTGCTTACTGTTGAAACTGATCATATGGTTGGAACCAGAAAGATCAGTCAGCTCGTGGATGCAACCATATCCTTTGAGGAAAAGCACAGGCCAGTGAGGCTGAGTGGTCTCCACTCATATAGGGCAGCTCTCTGGAGCATGACTTGAAGTTACCCCAGTTTAGTGGGGCCAACCTCAACCAGTGTTGTCTCCTTCAGCAGCCATCCTTTACCAGGTGTCTCTGTTATTTCAAACACATATTTTTTGGAGTTATGTCTCCCATCTTCGGAGAGGGAGATCATCAGACTAGGTAAGCCCTGTGGGTATTTCCTGCTTGGCTGAAAACTCCCCTCCAGAGTCTCCCTCTCCATGTCCTTACTCTGTCCTGAAGATACCTGAGTTTTCCACCTCCTCATCTGTCTGAAGGCATGTTCCTGGGCTTCTCCAGAGACTGGTCTGAAGTCTCCAAGCAGTCAGAGTCCTCAGGGCTTTATTCCAGAGAACCTTGCCTGCCTTCTGGGGCCTTCTTTCCTGTCCTGCTGAGCTAGTTACTGCGTTACTCTCACACCAGCTGTCACAGTTCCCACGTGTTTGCCTGACTAGTGCATACCTTTGCTGTTCACATCCAAACTCCCACTTTGGCCAGCTCCAAATATTCCCAAGTGGTTTGAGATTCCACTGGGTTCCAAATGACTGCCTCACTGGGGCTCCCTTGCAGAAATGCCCCTCAGTGTTCATTTTGACCCTAGAGGTCCTGATGACTCTTCCTGTGCACTGTTGTGGTGACCTGATAGCTCCTGTTCTTGCCTCTGCCACCCAAGCAGGCCCCTTTCAGCCTTACACCCCCCCTCCCCCCGTATCTAGCCAGTATATAGAAAGCTCTTGTGACGCTTCTGAGGGTTTTTACTGCTTCTAACCACCAGGGAACAGAAAGAGGCTGAAAATAAACAAGTTACAGAGTTCTATGCTGACTCCCAAGCCCCACAGGTAGAGTTCTAGCCTGCTCAGTGGCTTAAGAGTCCATGCCGAACACACACACACACACACACGAACACACTTCCACATGTCTATTTTGTTAGGCTTGGTAAGAGGAGAGCGATGGCTCCTAAATGAGGGAGCAGGGCAGCTGGAGGTCATATAAAAGGTCATGATTCTGAATTCTCTGTTTAGTTTACATTTGAGCCTCAGTTTCCTTACCTTTATAATTAGGTTTTTTTAAAAAATAAAGTTTCTGTAAAGGCTAAACTAGATGCTGGCTAGGGCAGCAGGAACCCAGTTCCTGGTTGGGAAGAGAGTGTTTGTGGAGTCCGTACTATTTGTGAAGGAGAATGGCATGCCTGTTACCTAAGGAAAATGTCTTCTTCCTTATCCTGCTCCTTTTTCTCTCACTTTCCAGGAGGCCTTTTCCTGACTGATTACTCCACCTGCTCACCCCGCAAGTTAAGTCCTTTCCGCTCCTTTGCCAGCACAGAGCTCTTTCACTTCCATGTTCCAGAGGACACGTTCCTGGCTGTGTGGAACCTCATCATCTTCAAGGAGCAGGGGGGAACCTTTGGAGACCACTGCCCAGACCAAAGTGTGACTGTGTGAGTGTCTTAGTTACCCCTTAACCCCCAATCCAATTCCAGGTCACTTTCTAAATTAAATTGTGACTTATAAGTATCTAAGTTGATTTCCTGGCCCTAACCTTGACCCTTATCTAGATTGAAGTGTGACTGAATGGGGGCTGTTGCCTACGTCACCTGACCTCTTCCTCACTACTTTTGTATAGCTGCAGGTGCCTGAATTGACCTCTCACTCCTTATCTCCTGAACCTGACCAGGAACCACTTTGTTATATGTCACTCTAGGGAATCCACTTATTTTACTGGGGATAATTGACTGTTCTCTTTCTTTCCCCCATTTTGTATCTCTCACCATATTGCCTGCTTTTCTTCTCCCCTAATTCTGGTCCTGTAGGTATTTCCGGTCTGGGGCACCTCCTGTCATCAATCCCCTGCACACCCACTTCCCAGGGGACACTGCTGTGCCTGGGGTTTTCTCACTGACCCTCAGTTGGACACTGCCTAACCGTACCTCAGGCATCTTTAATGTCAGCAGCCCCTTGCCAGGAGACTGGTTCTTGGCTGCTCACCTTCCTCAGGCTCATGGCCACATCTCTGTCAAGGTGGGTTGATGTTGCCTAGGGTAGGAAGAGTCAGAGTTGCCTCTACAACTCTGCTGAATTGCCCCACAGACTATCTGGCACCCCAGCCTTATTCCAGGGTAGGCGTAAGGTGGCTGGTATGGAGCATGGCTAAAGGCCAGCAGGTCATCTGGTGGAATGGTCTGTAGAAGGCAACATGGTAGCCTTACAAGGACATAGGGTGAGCTGGGGATTTAGCTCATTGGCACTGCACCTTGTAAGTGCAAGGTCCTGTGTTTAATCCCTGGTACAAAAAAAAAAAAAAAAAAAAAAGGGGGGGGGGGGTTTAGCCCAGGGGTTCCCCCCCCTGCCTTGCAAACAAAGGGGCCAAAGTTCGGACCCCCGGAAGAAAAAAAAAAAAAAAAAAAGCAAGACGTAGTGATTTCAGTATGCTGAAGGCAAAGTCCCAAGGTTCTGGTCCTTCCTATAGGAAAGCATCCCTTCCTTTAGGAAACCACGAGGGTTAATCAAGGTTATTAGAAGCTAACCAGGTTCTGTTCAAATCTACGCAAAACCTGTACTGGTATTGTTCTACATTTTGTTGAGGTTATCTCTGAACTCTTAGTTCACAGCCCAGTCTCTATTCCATTCCTCTTCCTTCATTGTTTCAGATAGTTCTTCTATGGCAAATCATAAGAGAAGCCCTTTCCTGTTAAAAGGAGGCTTTGGGAAGCTGGTGTCCATCCTGACTGCTGCCTCCCTTTCCTCTAAATCACAGCACTTAATTCACAGAGTAGAGATTATTAAAGTCCAAAGGTCAGAATACTTCTCTGGCTTGGAGGGAAAGGAAATTCCACAATGTATTCTTGCCGTTCTTGTGTTTCGACAGGCTGGGCTTCCTCCTTGCATGAGAGGATCTATGGCTTTCCTACTCTCATTCATTAAAGGAGAGGGAGTGTAAGATGGACAGGACATTGTCAGAGTGAGGGGGTCATGGGTGTGGGGCCTGTGGTAAGAGTGAAGGGCCAAAGATGAGCAGAGCAAAGATTTAAAGAACAGTGTGTTTAGAAGAAGGGAGCTAGTGGAGTTTGGTTATTGAGAATTGAGAAGAGCAGAAATTCCCAAACAGGTGAAGATTTGATTCTGTGACCTCTCTCCAGGTTCATTTCCTTGAGGGCAGGGACTCTGGGACTGTGTTAGACTCACTTCTCTTGCTGCTGAAGCCCAGGGTTCAGAGTAGGTGCTGAAATGCCTTTGACTGAGCTGTGATTTGCACAGGGACAAATGCATTGGACCTGCTGTTGGCAGTGATGTGAACTAGGATGCAGGTGGCCTCTGGAGGACTCAGTGATAGGCCTGTTTCTCCCAAGAGTGATGTGCAAGAGGGCTTGGGAGCATTTCTGACTAGATCATGGTGGGAACTCACCTGGAAAAGGGTCTGGGCTTTAGATGGACCTTGACTCACATCAGAACTAAGAGTTCTTTTGTTTTTTACTAGGAAGAATGTCTTCATAAGTCTTTGGCTAAATCTCAAAGAGCCTGCCTCTGATCCCAATTCTGTTTTTTTTTTTTTTGTATCGAGGATTGAACTTGGGTCCTTGCTCTTGTGAGGCAGGCAGTAGAACCACTGAGCTAAATCCCTGGCCCCTGATCCCAATTCTGATCCTTGACTCTGTGAGAACTGACAGGGAGAACTCTTTAGCAGGGTTTTATCCCACAACCTTTCTAGGTGAGCAGGAGGAACCTGGGGCTTGCTTCTGGGCTAAGATAATGGAAATGGTCAAAGTTGTTTATAATTGGTCAGATTGGGACAACAGATAGCAGTTCAAAGAAAAGCTGACCAGAACCTAAAGCCTGATTCAAAGTGCCACACCAAAGGGAGTTGGACAGTGAGAAAAGATCAGGTCTGACATGCCCTTTTGCTTGTAGATATAGCAAGTGGGGCCTGGGAGACTTGATAGTGGGATTGGAGCCCTAACCCAAAGAACGCCCAGGGGTGAGACTAGGGAGAAGAGGGCACAGTTCTACTTGCCCATGATAGCAGCAGGTCTGGATACCATGAAGATATATTGCTTTAGCCAGATCTGTTCTAGAAGTTGATGAGGCAAGGATCTTGTATATGGTCCTGCTAAGAATTTGATTACCTCCTGGAATTTTCTGTGGGGCTTTAAAGATTCATAAGCCCTCCAGACCTGGCCAGTTTCCCATATTCAAATCTTAGGGTTCAAATCTTCTGGGTTCATTGTCCAGAGCATTCCTCCATCTTCTCAATTTGAGTTATTTTTCACCATAGTTATTTTGATTTCCTGTGAGGCTTGACAAATATAGTTATGTGATTTCAGGAACAGCCTTGATGGGGCCTGAAGAGTCCCAGCAATAAGAAGGCAGGGCCCTTCAAAACTTTGAATGAGCTCAGATCTCCCTTTATTTCTTAGTCTTTTAGCACTTACTTTGTGTTAGGCTTTAGTTTGGGGTGGGGAACACTGAGGTAAATAAGATGTTTACTGGTGAGATACAGGAGATGTCTTAAGAGGGTAAAGGAGAGATGGCTAACTCAGCTTGTAGTAGAGTAGGAAGTGAGGCCTGTGGATAAAAGATGTAGGGAAAGGCATTTCAGGTAGTGGAGCCAAAGCTCAGAAGGGAGAACTGAACGGGGGTCAGTGTAGGCTAGGTGTTGGGGTAAGTGGAGGCCAGATCATGAAAGGCCTAGAAGTTTAACCTGTATCCTGAGAGTAATAGGGTGCCTGATAAATGTGAAGAGGGAAGTGACTTATCTGGTCCAAGCAGCTCCAGTCCCACACACTGCCAGAGTCTATGTCTGTGTTATTCACTATATATTCCTAGCACCCTACACAGTCCTGCCACATAGTTTGTTGCCTTTCTATCACTCTTCTCAAACTTAGGTCCCAAAGTGATACCATATCTTGTCCTCTTCTTTCTTTCACCCCCCTCCCCAACTCCTTGCCTTTTCTGTCTTGGAGTATGTGTTTATTCTAAGCTGGCCTTTGGTTTGTGTATCTCAGTGGGTGCACAGCTGACATAAGGAGAAAGTTCTCCTAAGTACCTGGGCACAAGTTCTCCGAGACTTTCTCTTCCCAGGTCTAAGATTTGAAAGTGAATAAAAGTAGGTAAAATAATGAAAACAACTAGAAGGAAAACAAAGAAGCAAATTATACAGAAGGAAGGATTTTATTAAATCCAGCAACTAGGACTCAGTAATGTCTCAACTGAAGTGGTTAAAATCTGCTAACAGTACCTCTTCTGTTTTTCTTCCTCCTCCTAAGTTATTTTATTTATATTTCAAATAGGTAATATATGCACCTGACTCAGCATTTGAAAAGTACAAAAGGCATAAAGTAAAAAGTAAGTCTTCTTCTTCTCTTCTCCTTCTAGTTCCCCATTCCCCTCCTCAGAGTTAACTAGAAGCTAGTTATTAACTACTTCCTTAAATTACCTTTTAGTTCCTGAAACATTCTCTTCTCTTGGCCTTTGTGAGTTTACAGCATCGTGCTGATTCTCCTGCCCATTTCCCACTCCTTTTCTGTCTCCTTTCCTGGCTTATCTTCTGCTTGATCTCTGTGTTGGGACTTAATGTTTGGTCCTGGAACAATTCCTTTTTATTTTTCCATTCTCTTGGTTAGTCTCTCTAGCACAATTATTTTAAATACTATCTATGAGTTAATGCCTTCTAAGAATAGTCAGCCAGTCCTGATTTCTTCGAATATCAAATTTTATGTCCAGCTGCTTGGCATTTCCAGTTGGTTATCTGAGAAATGTCTCAAGCTTAGTACGTGCAAATCATAACTAAAAGTAAAAAAAAAACAAAAAAATCCCCCCAAGAAACCTCTTTGATTCTCATTTCTAAGGCTCTTTTTCTCTCTTGTTATCTTTTTCTCAGTGAACAGCATTGTCCTTCACCAGTTTCTAAAGCCCAAATTTAGGTGTCATTCTTTTTTTTTTTTGGTACTGGGTATCGAATTCGGGACCTTGCACTTATGAGGCAGGCAGCAAAACCACTGAGCTAAATCCCTGGCCCTAGGTATCATTCTTGATTCATTTCCCCCATATTCTATCACAACCAATCCATAAAGTGTCTTGTTGACTCTAATTCTAACACATGCTCTGGATGCATTTACTTTTCTCAATTTCACTTGGAGCACACCTTCCCTCAGCTTTCTGCTTGGCCACCACAGTAACCTCTTGAATGGTCTCTGCTTCCGCTCTTGCCCTTATTTACTTCCATACTGGTTGGTGCTGACTCTGGCATGGGAACTGGGCACTGGGCTATTCTGATGGAGAATCTTTAGTTTTTCAAAGAAACCCAGCCCCTTCAGAATTCATCTACTTTGCCTTCCACAGATCTTCCAGGATCTTTCAGACTGTTTCCTGTCCACTTCTTACTTTTGGCCGTCTGGTTTCTTGAGCTTCCTTGTTTTGGCTCTGTTCCTTCCATGGCTGCTGATGGCTTTGCTGTTGACTCAGTTTGGACTCTTACAGTTGGCTTCTGCATTGATAGTTGAGGGAAAGAGCACATCATAACCAGAGGCTTCACATCTTCTGATACTTTACTGAAGCCAACAGCAGTAAAATGTGGAACAGTGTTTCTTCTCCTAGGACTATCTAGCAAGGAAATAGGCCATGTCCTGAGCATATATCCTCCTCCCCCACCTTGGGACTCATTCACTCTAATATTGTTGTGGTGATTTCTACCTTAGCAATGAGGTTGCTGAAATGCCATGTGAGAGTATTTCTTGTGCTTGGATTTGACATGTTAGATGAGGGATTTCTGCTTTGGATATCAGAGATGGAAGTTTTCAAGCAGCGAGGCTTGTTCAGGAGCTCTCCAAAGGATACTTTTTCTTGACATGTATTTTTTTAATTCAACAGCTATTTTTTCAGCACCAGATGGTAAGCTAGGCACTGGAGATGCAATGATAAGAAGGCACAGAATGGTTCCAGGAAGAGGGTAATGAGATCTCCGAGCTTGGCCTCTCTCAAGGCCTCCTTCCAACCTGATGGAGCTTTACTGGAAGTCAGTGTTTTGGCTGGCTTGTTCCATGACATGGATCTCAGTGAGATGTCATGCCTGGAACTTTTGTCCCAGAACAAGGCTTGGAAGTATCTCTTGGTCAGAATAATGACAAAAATGAGTCATAACCTTTAGTTTATTAGGCCAGCCCAAAGGCCTTTTTTTCCACATTAGAGAACCCTAATTAGGGGACCCCTTTGCCTCATAACTGTTTGGTTTATAGGCTTATGTAGTTGCAAATGCTGCATAAGAGGAACTGTAAGAAATGATACTTTGCTCACTGAAGAACAATGGGTCTCTGAGGTTGGAGATAGTGTTCATAATGCTGCATGGAAGGGGCACCTAAGTTTGTCCAGGACAAGGGAAGCTAGGGAGATATGACGTTGTCCTCCACTGTCCGAAGAAACAGTCTGAGCCAGGCGTGGGGTGCATGCCTGTAATCCCAGCACTCGGGAGGCTGAGGCAGGAGGATCGCTGTGAGTTCGAGATCAGCCTGGGCTACATAGTGAGTTCCAGGTCAGTCTCAACTACATAGTGAGATCCTGTCTCAGAAAACAACAAAACAAAACAAACAAAAAAAACAAAACAGATGAAACAGTCTGAGACCAAGGAAGCAGAATGGTGGGAGGGCAACAGAGATGACAGTTTTTGGCTTTATAAATGTCAGAGTTGCCCCCTGCTAGGCTGGTTCACTTGTCTGTTCATTTTAAACTTATTCATCATGAGTTTTACACATTGTATTAAACCCTGTGTATGGAGGGACAAAAATAAAATAAGACAAGATTCCTGTTCTTAAGTTGGTAGTCTGGAATGCTGTCAGGGAGGTGCCAGTAGCGCTCACTGGGTGTATTGAAGCAGAGGCTGCGCAAACATGTGAAAGGGACAAAGTGGGACATAACGGTGAAGATTAGATGGGGGCATGGATTGGAGGCTTTGAAGGAGCTTTCTAACTCCTGTAGCAGAGCTCGGGCTCTGGTGGGGAAGGGGGTGGTTTGAAGGTTAAGGTCAAGTGGGGTTGACCTGGGATGCTCAGGAGGAGGGGCTGGATTGGGAGAAAGGGCAAGCAGGGCCTGATTCCCCAGACCTTGGTCAGTGCGGATGATAACAGCAGACCTGGCAGATCTAGATAAGACAAGTGATCAGAAATGACTTCTCTGGCAGGAAGGATCCAAAGCTAGATGAGACCCTAGTCAGAGACCTGGGGTCAAAAGGGTAGAGGGGTTTCTCCCCAGCCCATGGACTAGGTTTGGTTAGCCTTGTTTTAGTAGCACCCTGGGGTCTCTCCTCCTCCTGCCATTCCTGCTTTGTCTCAGGGTCTCCAGGATGAATGTCAGTACCTCCTTCAGCCGCAACTGATTGTCCGTCGTTTGCTGGATGTGGCTGTGTTGGTTCCTGGCCGTCCCTCAGAGCAAACCCTCTCTTCCCACAATCATTCAGCCCTGTACAAGTAAGTCAAATACCTATTAAGCTTGGTCCTTCCCTCTTCCTTTCCTTGTCTTAAACAGGTGGCAGTGTTCTCTTTTGACTTCTCACCCACCTGTCTGGTCCTGCAAAATTGAACTTGGGACCCAGAGCCCCCAGGGTGGGTTGCCTCTCTCCTAGCACAGAGGGAAAGACCTGAAAAAACCATCTGTTCTCCTGTCCCCTACCCTCTCCTCACCCACTTCTTCCTCATGTTTCCCTCCTTTTGGTGTCCTCACCTCTCTGTCCTTTCTTGCCCCCAACCTCTCCTCTGCCCAGGGTCTTTGTGCCCAGTTTCACTTACAGGGTTTCCGCGCAGCTGGTGTGTGTGGGGGGCCGAGGGGTGTCTGCCTGCCCCCTGACACTTCGCCTACGTCCCAAGGCCCCACCCCTGCACAACTCAAGCTCTGTGGCCTGTGGAGGTACCTCTGTGTGCCAGCTGGAGCTGGCCTTGCCACCCTGGGGGCACTGGGTCTACATGCGAGTGGAGACACCATCCCGGGGCCCTGGCAGGACCATCCGCTTCCAGCTATGTGTACGATTGCAAGGTCAGAACCCTCAAATCTGTCCCAGTCACCCAGCCTTTGCGGACATCTGTGCCGGGAAGTGACCTAGGTGGCTGTGTTTGGTGATTCTCTGCCTTATTGCTATAATTTCCTCTATCGCACTCGGGCTCCTTTGTACACCCTGAAGGCCCCCACCCCAATTGGAGTTCAAAGTCTTTGGACAGTCTTCAGATCATTGTTTGTACTTGACTTGGGACAAATAAAGGCTCTTGTTATCTTCCGTGATTTAATATTTCTTTCAGTTTCCTGAGCTAGGCAAGGATAGCCAAAACCTCTGGGACATTGTCCTTCTCTATGTAAATCAGTGAGACAGTCTGTTACACTTCGTTGTCTCAGACAGTTAGTTCACACAGCGGCATTGACAGTTAACAGTTGAAAACTTTAACAGTGTCTTTACTGCGCTGAGGGAGGGACAGACGACCTTGATTCTGTCCAACATGATATTCTGTTAGTTGTGATCATTAGGAAACCCCTGGGCCCTACCCTGTGTTCTTGGATATGTCACATTCCCTAGGAACATCATGTTCCAGTTCTTACCCTTTGATAAATACTGTCTGGCTCAGTTTTTGTTTATGGTAGGGATATGAAGACTACAGGCCTGAGATCTGGTTTCCTTTCTTCACAGAATGCCCACAGCCCAGTCTTTCCCGTGCCCTGGTCCCTGGAGCTGCCATGAACATGCCCCAGTCACTGGGGAACCAGCCACTGCCCCCAGAGCCACCATCCCTGGGGACCTCTGTGGAGGCACCTGGGGCCACATCTCCACCTGAGCACTGCTGGCCAGTGCGCCCAACTCTGCGCAATGAACTGGACACCTTCTCTGTCCACTTCTACATCTTCTTTGGCCCAAGTGTGGCCCTTCCTCCTGAGCGCCCAGCTGTGTTTGCCCTGAGGCTGTTGCCAGTACTGGACAGTGGAGGTGTCCTCAGCCTGGAGCTCCAGCTCAATGCGGTACTCTTTGAGGATTGCTGGGTGGTTGTCCTTTGGGGGAGCTCACAGGAGAAGTTGTCAGGTGTGTGGAGGCCTCATGTCCTTCAGGAACCCTACCTAGGGTGCTTCTACCTATCCTTCTAGTTAGGGACCATGTCTTAGTCCAGTTCTGGTCAATAGGCATACTCTGAATATCGACTGTGCGGTGAGTGGATTGGGTCAGCCAGGGTGACTTGGGTGCTTGGGGTATCCACAGTGCTGTAGGCTGCCTTCCCACTCAAAGGGCCCCTCTCAATGGCAGCTGTTCACTTTTTCTGAATGAGTTCACCACCTCTTGAGGCCATGCAGTCATGTATGTTGTTGCTAACTCTACATCAAAATACATTTCCAAGAATTCCAACCTACTGAGTTTTTGTTTTGCCCAGAAGCCATATTCAGCAAATCTATCCCTATCCCTTTGTCTTTAAATTAATTTACTTTTTTGAGCAGTTTAGAGTTACAGAAAAAGTGAGCAGAAAGTAGAGTTCTCGTAGGCTGCCTTTCTCTCTCTGCACAGTTTCCTGTTACTAACATCTGGCCTGAGGGCGGTGTGTTCACTATAGCCCTATCCTTTGGTAACAGCCCTTCAGATGTTTCTCTCTGAATGCCCCAAAGCGGAAACATTCTGGGTGTCTTGGGACCTCTTGTTACTTGCCTTTGTCTCCTCTGTTCATCCTTATGCTGGTCATCATGTCTGAAATAAATGATCTGAGGTGGTCTTCCCAGGGTGGCAGACAAGCCCTGCATTTGTGCAGCCTGAGACCAAATGACCTCTTTTAGTTGGTACATTTTATTATGGGATCATCTGTGGCTTCTGGTACACTAAAGTCCCTGAGTCTTTTCCCTTCCTTCGATTTTACTTTCTTTAGAATACTTACATATATTTTTTTAAATCATAAAAGCAACAGGATCATCACATAAAAGCTCTGGGCAGAAGGGGAAAACATTGCCCAAACACAACTATTTAACTTTGGCATACATTCTCCCAGCCTGTCTCCATACTAACTGCTTTGTGTGTCTAGCTATAATCAGGGGAATAAACAATTTGATGTGTTGAGTTTGTGAACTGCTGCCAGTTCTCATCTTTTCTTTGCACTGAATTTTTGAATCTGAATGGGAGAATTTATGCCCACCCTCGTGGTATTGCCTAGTATTGGTTAGGGCCCTGGGTCTTCTCCCCTTTTGCAAAGCCACCTTTCTGTACCTCTGAGTCATTACTATCAGCACTAACATTGGGAAGAGGGTGGAGTCCTGTGTTGGGCCCTTAGAGATGATCCTCATCTTGACTTTGCTCTAACCTGTGTGCTGTTCCCTCTGCCAAGGATCCTTTTAACTCCACTGTGCTTCAGCTTGGAGGTCAGGTACTACTTACCCTTAGCCAACCTGAGGGCTGGTCTGTGACTTTTTATGGGACTTGACCCAGAACTTTTCCAGTGTTGCTGCTTATCAGGACAGATCTGGTTTTCCTTTTCCAGTGTTGCTGCTTATCAGGACAGATCTGGTTTTCTTTTGTTTTTTGGTACTGGGGATCTAACTCAGGACCTTGCACTTGGCGGCAGCCGGGGTGCCACTGAGCTAAATCCCTGGCCCCAGATCTGGTTCTTTAACCTGAAGACATTCCTTATTTTCATACTCAGATTCTCTCTAATTCTGTCCTGGCTGAGATTGTATTTTGCGTTTGCTTATTGCCATGCCTTTGGGCAATGACGCAAAAGTCTAAATTTGACCTTGAAACTGTAGAGGCTGAATCAGAGACCAGCCGCACCCACCCTGAGATTAGAGATCTAGCCCCACTGCAGCTCCTCACTCCCTCCCTCTATGTGTGCTATTTTATCCATTCTTTGTAGCACTGGGGATTGAACTGGGAGCTTGTGCATGCTAGGCACATGCTGCACCTCTGAGCTATGCTGCTGGTCCCCTCCCTCTCTGCATTCTGCCCATTCACTCTAATGAACGTTTCCATTGTGCCATTTGCAAGGTATGACTCTTGCTGCACACCTCAGACAGCCTGTTAGATTTATTTTGAAAAGTGTATCAGCACATGTACTCTGATCTTTCCTTCCAAATATTTTGATTCCCCCCACCATGGATCAAAAATTGCATAGCTGGAGGATCCCCACCCCCACCCCTGGCTGTCTCCTAAGGTGATTTTTACTCAGTCGTACTGTGCTGGTCTTGCATTGAGAGAAGTGCTAAGCAAGCTGTGTGAAATTCTCTTGTGGTTGAAAACAGGATCCATGACAGCACATAGCTTCCTGGTTGGAATGTCTTAAGGATCACTGCTTTAGTTAGACATGGTGGTTCTCTGGAGCCTCTGATTAACTTTTATCTTATACATTCACAAATCTGGAAACTCATCACATTTCCTTCTTTGCTTTGGTTACGTGGAAGTCAGTATCAAACATATGAGCCACATCTATGGACAGACTTTTTTTTTTTTTGGTACTGGGGATCAAACTTGGGACCTTGCACTTGCAAAGCACGTGGCGGAACCACTAAGCTAAATCACCAGCTGGACAGACTTTATTTTTGTATCCAGATTTTAAAATTTCTCTCATGCATTTATTTTATCCCATCTTGTATGTTAGTAAGCTGACTCAAATCCTTCTTGAATAAGGTAAATTTATGGCATCTGTTACTTTTATTCTTGTAGACAATCCCTCACCTTTACTGCTGTGGGTATCTGGTGGTTTCTTTTAATTCCAGCCAGGTTGCTACATTTAATCACTCAGTCATTCCTTTACCACCAGGATCATTTTACCTGAGAGATGAGTTTCTTTATAGGTCTCCTGCCTTAAGGGTCAGAACAAGTTGAGTGAGATCCTTAAGTTTGTCTGCAATTAATTTCAAGTCTGGCAACACTTTTCCTCCAATAAGATAGGATTGAAGAACAGTGTTTTCTGAATCAGCAGTAGAGAATTTGGCCTCACCTGCTCATCAGTTGTTGAGAAATTATGGTTGTGGAGAATCTGGTGCTTTTCAGCTTTTGGGTTCTAAGAAGGGAAATGAGACGGCAGCACTGGCTGCAGAGCACCTGGAGGAATGGACTGTCCAGCGAGGCCCCGGGGCTGATAGGCATGGGAGTCTGGGGGTTGCTGTGGTGAGCCCATCTGAAGGATCTGACAACCTCATTTCCACACTTGTCTTCCCCAGAGCTCCCTGCACCAGGAAAATGTCACAGTGTTCGGATGCCTGACTCACGAGGTGCCCTTGAGCCTGGGGGATGCAGCGGTGACCTGTGCCAAAGGTGGGGTGAAGAGTGAGGCTGGAATTCTGGCAGGGCCTTGGGGCATCATGTGGAGGAAGGACAGCCAGGGTCTCCAGGAATCGAGCAGGTGGCTGAGGGTTCTTGGTTCCTGACCACACCTCCTTCTCACTGGTCCTGCCATTTTCCTGTCTCTCTTCAGAGTCACTGGCTGGCTTCCTCCTCTCAGTCAGTGCCACCTCCAGGGTGGCGAGGCTGCGAATCCCCTTCCCGCAGACGGGGACCTGGTTCCTGACTCTCCGCTCCCTGTGTGGGGTGGGGCCTCGGTAAGCATCACCATCAGGGTTGGGGTCAGGGTCAGGGCCCAGGCAGGGACGGTCCTGGCCCCCATGACAGCCAGTGTGTATTTAGGTTCGTGCGGTGCCGCAATGCGACTGCTGAAGTGCGACTGCGCACCTTCCTGTCCCCGTGTGTAGACGACTGTGGGCCGTATGGCCAGTGCAAGCTGCTGCGCACGCACAACTACCTGTATGCAGCCTGCGAGTGCAAGGCTGGTGAGCGGGCTGGCGAGAGAGCGGGTGCATGTGATTCCAGGGCTGTAGGTAGTTTGGAGGGGTTGGCTTGCTGGGCACTTTGGGGTGGGGCAGAATTGTCTGCCTTCTGTCCTCCACCCTGTGACCTCCTGACCCACAGGGTGGCGGGGCTGGGGCTGCACCGACAGTGCCGATGCGCTCACCTATGGCTTCCAGCTGCTGTCTACACTTTTGCTTTGCCTGAGCAACCTCATGTTTTTGCCACCTGTGATCCTGGCCATTCGGAGCCGCTATGTGCTGGAAGCTGCTGTCTACACCTTCACCATGTTCTTCTCCACGGTAGGAAGTGGCATCTTTGTCTTAATCTCTTCACCATGTCCTTCCTTGTTCCTGGTGGTGATGGTGGTGGTGGTGTGTGTGGGGCTTCATTTTTACCATGTTCTCCACTGGTTTGGGGATGTCTCTACCTTGACATGTCTAATACATCAGTGCCTCCCAACCTACCAAGTGTCACAGAAAGTGCTAATTCAGGCAAGGCACCTTGGGGCAAATGACCCGAGCTGTTTACAGTTTAATATAACAAGTGTGGGGCTCCAGCTGCTCTACACTACGAGGAGACCTTTACTCAGCCCATTCACCGAGAAACTTCCCTACACCTTCACTGTGTTCTCTGCACCAGGGCAGGAGTGCACACTTTCACACATGTCTCTGCACAGTCTTCACCTTCATCATTTCTTTCCTGATGTGAGGGTGAGCTACTCTGTGCTCACGTTCTGTCTTGTACTGGGGATGTCTGTGTTGATAGTATGCTTGTTTCTATGCTCTGAAAGCATGTTCCCCCATTCAGTCCCCATGGCTCTCCTTGATTTTTTGTGGGAACTTTTGGAAGATAGAGGACATCTTTATATTGGGCAGTTAAGAAGACAGTCTGACTGTCAGAATCCTTGGAAATATTACCCTGAGTCATGGGAAGTGGCAATGTGATATAAAATCCCAGTTCCAGGAGTACATTTTGATGTAGATTTCAAGTTTTTAAATTTTTAAAATCTTTTTAGATAGGGCCTCTCTATGTAGTTCAGGTTATCCTTGAACTTAGTGTGTATCCCATAATGGCCCTGAGCTCATGGTGATCCTCCTGCCTCAGCATCCTGAGTGTTGGAATTATAGGTGTGTATCACTATTAGATTTAATAGCTTTAAATCCCTCCATGTCTATTTCACAGTCTCCACAATTTCTTCTCTTCGTTTTCTAATTCCTCCACAACCAGAAAAATCCATATTACAAGTAAGCATTTGAGATATTATGAGAAAGGGTAGAGAATTGGGTTTGCTGCTGTATCCTAACCCCTAGTTAGATTTTTTTTCTCCACCAGATTCTGCACCTAAGGATTTTGTTATGCCATCTGTTCTTGGCATTTGTGTCATACAGTGCCTGTCTATGAGCACTGTAAAAAAAAAAAAAACCAAAAAAACAAAAAAGCACCTTAGATGGATTCAGACTCTCCTAATGTTTTAGCAACAGGAAAACCACACGCAAAAAAATATGTTTCCCTGGTATTCAGCATTACTAGATCAGACGTGTCCAGAGTACAGAAATTCTGCTTATTATCTTAGAGAAAGTAGGGGGGCAGAAGTTTTGAATTAGGGTCACAGTGTCCTCCTGGATACTCATCTGAAGACGAAGAATAGGTTGTAGCCACACTGCACAGGGAGACCGTGGCCCTTTAAGCAGGCTGAAAAGAGTGTACTTCAGTTTTGAATGACTGGACCTCTTTTTAGGCCCCTCTGATATTGCTTCATTCTGTTTTTATTTTGGACACTGTTTCTTATTGTCAGATGCTATTTATGCTGTTACTTACCAAATTTTCTAGCTACAGCTGTTTCAGCCCACACTTGACTTCATGAAGATCTAATGTGATTCATAATTAGTAAGAGTACCTTAAAGTATCAGGAACCTAGAGCATGTGGGGAGAGCATATTCATTTCTCTTGGCTTGGCACGAGCATCCTGGTCATTGACTCCAGTGTGTTCAGTGCTAGATGTCTCTTTCATTATTTGGATACAATGGCATGGCAGTCTGAAGAGAAAGACTTTTCCTCAGTAGGAACACTGAGGGAGCCTCAAATGCCTAGTACTAAATAAATGAAATTCACTTTCTTGAATAAGGTAGTAAGCAAGAGAATAAGATCTGCTAGCTTTGAGGCATTGAAGCCCTGCTGTAATTCCAGTTATTTTTCCACATGGGCCAAAATTTAGAGCTATTGGTCATTCAGTTTTCCAGGGGCAGGTCCCTATTGTTACTCCTTTCCCATTCTTTACTTAGTTTGGACTTATTTCATTCTATAGTAAAGTTGATATAGAGATCTATTGGTCTCATTACAGTTATCAAGATGACAGTCATCTTCCCTGTCTTGAAATCCAGAACAGTCTACACCTGAGTAGCCACATGGGTTCTAGACAGCAGGTTTATAATTCAGGCATTTGCAGATTTAAAAAATATAAAAATAGCCACAAACCTAATACTTGATTTTTGTATGTAGCCAGATAGTTCACATAATGATAACAGCAAAATTATATCTAGTGCATGCATGGTGTGTGCAAGACACTGCTAATTTAGACTTCACAATAGCACTATAATAATAAGTAGGCACTTTTATTATCATTTTTTTTTGTCAGTGAAAGAAAGTTAAACATTTTGCTTATCGGAGAAGGTAAATAATGGAGCTTAGATTCTCATTCATCCTGACTCTGAGCCCTTGTGTAATCACTGAACTGTGTTGCTCTCCTTGCACCAAGGCAGTGAGCATAAATTGATAAAGTTCTTATCCAATTTTAGTTTCCAGAAGTCCTGGAGTATGATGAGAAACACAAGGCTCAGGTTTAGTAGCTCCCCCCAAAATTCTTGCGAGAGTTTTTTTCTCATTTCTTATCTCTCTTTCAGTCCTGTGATCAAACCCAGGGCTTTGTACATGCTAGTCAAGTACTCTACCAATAAACCATGTGCCCAGACCACCCCAAATTCCTAAGAGCCAATCTGGAGATAAGAGAATATAACCAAACCCAATATAAAAAATCATCAGAGTGAATATATAAAACACTGTGGTTGTGGGCCTTTAACCCAGTTATGAAGCCGTATATTCTTCACAGTGCTACTTGAGTCCTTATAACGATATCCCCAAAGGCCTAGATAAAGTCCATATCATATGGTGGTCCTTGTCTATTGCTGGCATCCTGGCTGCAAGCCCACTGTCTCATTACCTCTTCTGCTCCTCAGACCATCACAAGTAATTCTCAGGGCTCTTTAGCAAAATCCCATAACTCCTTCCAAGAGAAAATAGAATTAAGAAATAATAAGAGAGGAATAGTTAAGTTCCATTATATCCTGTGTGCAAATATCCCAGTCTTTGATGATTTAAATATGTTTGCATTTCCAGTTTGACATTCTATGATGCCTGGTCACCCCATTTTAGAGGTCCTGAGAGTGAAGCCCAGTTCAGAGACTGAGCAATCAGGAGAAATTCAGACATGCAGGAGAGGCCAGAGGCAGACCCCAAAGCTTGGGCCAGGGATAGGGGCTAATGAAGCAGACCAGGCCTTCCTACCATGTTTTTCTTAGGAGTGAATGAGTCAGGCATTTCCTAGTTCTGTTCACCTGTGACTGCTGACCTCTGTTTCTCTGACCGCAGCGCACCATCCCTGTGGCTTCTTTCTCTGCTTTCATATACCTGGACCTCCATCCCAAGACCTTTCAACACCTGTCATTTCTTCTTCTAGTTCTATCATGCCTGTGACCAGCCAGGCATTGTGGTTTTCTGCATCATGGACTACGACGTGCTGCAGTTCTGTGATTTCCTGGGCTCATTAATGTCAGTGTGGGTCACTGTCATTGCCATGGCTCGTTTACAGCCCGTGGTCAAGCAGGTCAGTTCAGAGTGGGCCCTGGGGGACAACTGTAGCCAAGATCCATTTGAAATCCCCTACTATCCCTTCCCTGAGGGCTTTTCCAAGTGCCTCTTGCCATCCTAGTGCAGTCCCTGGAGTACTGTCTCCTGACACTAGTCTAGCCCCTGGAGTCATCTTCCCCTAGGTGCTGTATTTGCTGGGGGCTATGCTGCTGTCCATGGCTCTGCAGCTTGACCGGCATGGACTCTGGAACCTGCTTGGACCCAGTCTCTTCGCCCTGGGGATCTTGGCCACAGCCTGGGTAAGGGTGGGGAGGGCTGGGTGTGTGTACGTCTGGGTCGGGGAGTAAGACTTGGGTGTAGGGCACTGGCCATCTCAGTTTAAGGTGGGCTTGGCTTGTCACTATCACCTACTCTCGACAGTGTCCACTCCAGCCTTGGAAAGAGCCTTTAGGTCATAACCAGGCTTCAGGGGAAGCCTGAGACTGACCAGCTCTGGCTTGGGTTCTAGGGTCTTACATTCCTGAGCCTCACTTCTCTGCTTTCCCCAGACAGTACGCAGTGTCCGCCGTCGGCACTGCTACCCACCCACATGGCGCCGCTGGCTTTTCTACCTGTGTCCAGGCAGCCTTATTGCGGGCAGTGCCATCCTACTGTATGCTTTTGTGGAGACCCGGGACAACTACTTCTACATCCATAGCATTTGGCATATGCTCATCGCTGGCAGTGTGGGCTTCTTGCTGCCTCCTCGATCCAAGACTGACCATCGGGTCCCGTCTGGAGCCCGGGCCCGGGACTGTGGTTACCAACTGTGCATCAATGAGCAGGAGGAGCTGGGCCTTGTGGGTCCAGGAGGAACCACTGTCAGCAGCATCTGTGCCAGCTGAGAAGGGCTTTGGCCCAGGCCCCGGGAGATAAACCCTTGGTAGGGTTCTTCCTGGGGGTGAGGAGCCTTCCTGGGGACAAGAGACAAGCTATATTTCTGAAGGACTTAGAGCTTTTCTCAAGGACATTGAATTCTTTCAGGGACCTGGAGCCTTTCCCAGGACATGGGAACCTACCTGTGTTCATGGAATCCTTCTAAGGACTGGAAGGAACTACGCATGGCACAGAGCCCCCTCAGGACCTTCTGGGGCATGGAGCCTTTCCCAGGGTTGTGGAGCCGTCCTACAGATGTGAAATACTTCCCAGGGAGACAAAATCTTATTAGGAACATGGCATTTTTCCAGAGGAAATGGAATCTATCTTGGAGAAATTGAGTCTCCAGATTTTCCTAGAGACTCAGCAACTCTGGCCTCAGGCTTCCTTCCTGGAGGCAGCATCTGGGCTGTTCTGTGCTGGGCACAGGGGATTTCAGGACAGATGGAGTTAGAACTGGGGCTTGGTGGCAGGTATCCCGAGTTGGTACAGGTGGAGTCTGTTGTGTCTTCAGTGAAATATGTGCTGGTTCTGAGCTGCTTTTTCCCCCCTGGGTTAGGGTTTGGGAGAGGAAGGAAAGAAGAACCTGCGGAAATAGCAAAGGTGATACGAGCGTGAAAGAGCTTCTCGGAGCACTGTCTGAGGCTTCTGCCCCATTATGTACACACCCTCATCTCTCTCATCTGTTTCCTGTGTTCATTTCCAAACCTGCCTAATGCCTTTTCTCAATTCCTAAAGGGCCCAGCAGTGAGAGAAACCTACAATAACTGAGGGGGTGTGTGTGTGTGTGTGTACTCATGTGTGAGCATGTATGTGTATGGGTATACTGAGAAGAATTGAAGCAGTGAAACATACCTCCCTCATGAAGCCCAGATACCCAGAGAAGGAAGCCAAGGTACCAGGAAATTACACCAACAAGTATACATTTCAGATTTATAAAAAATATTACAATCCTGTAACTTCTATTTTGTGCCTCTGTTTTTCACAAGTGCCAGAAATAATCTTCCGTGAACTTGGGTTTCTTCTTTTTCCATGAAGGTCATAGCTGAGTACTGAAGATCTTACATAATCTAAGAAGTTGGGGGCATTCTCTCTGGTCAGCAGGGTCCATACTTCACCTGTCCCCTGAGATTTCCATCATTCCATCTGATTCTTATTCAGCGGCCCAGACAGGCCACCTGGATTCAAGCAGGGTTCTTCTTTCCTCTGCATAACCCTTTCAGTCCTGAAGTTCTTCTCACCACTTCTGTATCACATGTGGAGGTCTGTAAGGTTTCTAAGGCCTTGGCTACTCAGACATACCATGAAGCCATTTCTGCTCTGGGTTTTACTTGGAAAAAGAAGACATAAATTGCTCCACCTTTTTATCCTGAGGGCCTGTGTAGGGGCTTGGCAGAGGACTCCTTCCTTTGGGACATTGTGTTAGCACTGTTACTACATTTCTTCCTCCTGTCCCTTCCTTCCCAATTTGTTAATCTGGAGGTGAGGAAACCTTACTGTTATTTTCTCCCAAATCTTTTATCTGTACATTAAGTCTTCTGATTCTTTCGGGGCCTAGGCTGCTGAAGCTCAAAAGCCAGCAAACCGTCCCTTTATTCCCATTTTCTGCAGTAACGTCTCTTCTTTGGGGAACTGAGTAAAGAAGGATGTGTCCTACTGAATGGTGAGAAGGAGTGAAGGTGTGGACTACGTGTCTGTCCTATATCTGAAATGTTGGGGCTGGGGGTTTAGCTCAGTGGTTCTGCCGCATGCCAGGCAAGCAAAAGGTCCCGAGTTTGATCCCTGGTACCAAAAAAATTAAAAAAATGATTTGGCAGAAATATTATTCCTTCACACTAAAGTGGATAGATCCAGGTCACTAAGAGACTTGGACTAAAATAGCTGGGATTCAAGACTAGATCAGCAGAATACAGAAGGCAGTGAAGAAGAAACAGGGCTGGGGCACAAGCTACCAAGCTAGGGGCTATTGGAAGATGCTTTTGAAAAAAAAAAAAAGGGGGCTTGAGAGATTATATGAGTTGCTATAGTGCCGATTTGGGGAGAGTGTTCTCTGCGGTCACAAGTGTTCATGTTGCATCCCTCCCCTGAGAGTCCTGTTGTTGGACCTGGTCCTCAGTAAAGCACTTAGAACACTCAGCACAGTGCCTAGCCTGCTGCATGCTACATGTCCAGTACATGATAGCTCAAGGTCACAGCATTTGAACATGGGTAGAACAACAAGGGGAGACACTTACTTTAATCAGGGAAATGTGCAGATTACAGGAGACCTGGGTCTGGAGGGTGTGTGTGCAGAGTTAGGTAGATAGGATCTGTTCTTTACCATATGGGGAATACAGAGCCACTGGAGGGATTGGAGCAGCAGGGTGTGGTGGCCAGATTGGTATTTTGATGGCTGGTGTTGGGGATGGGTTTGGGGAGAGTTGGAGGGCAGTGTAGTGAGAAAAGGTGTACCCAGTGTCAGTGGGAAGGAGGGGACTGGTTTAAGAGCTCTAGACTTAGTGGCTGATGAAATAGTGACATATAAGAGAAAGTCTAGGATGACCACCATGTTTCTGGCTTTGGGTGATGGTGCCTTTCCTTGAGATGGTGACACCACTTGGAGTTAGAGATGTTGAGTTCAGTTTTGGATATTTAGAGTTTGACATACTGGTGGGATTCCTGGAGGTGGTAATAAGACAGTGCTGGGCATAGTAACTGAACCAGCCTGGAACCTTTGGTTTTCTGACTTGTCTCATGGTAGAGAGCCCAAGATCCAAACCAGTCCTGCCTGCCTGGGATACAGGACTGTGGCAGCAAGTACACCTGCTCCCTGTGTGTTTCTGCATACACAGCCACACTAAGACCCCTGACTACTTACGGCTGCCTGGAGTGTGTTCAGCAACACAGGGATCATTCCACAGTGGAGATGTGAGAACTTCCAAGTGACAACTGAGTTCAGCAAATGTGCTGTAGGGAAAGCCCTATGGGAGCCACAGACAAGTCAGACTATGCCATCCTGCCCAGAAGAAGGTCTCGTGCTGGTGAAATGTCAAGAATGAAACTCAGGATGAGAGAGATGCCAAGTGAAAGGTCCTGACAAAGTACTATAGGATATAAAGAGGACAATTTCAAAGTGCATCAGGAAAAATTGCATGAAAGAGATGGTGTCTAAGCTGACTTTGAAAACTCATCTTCCGTATGATCTGAGAACAGCATGAGCAAAGACCTGGAAGTGTGGGCTGTACAGATGTAGACAGGGGCTGGCCTGTGTGAAGGACACAGTGGAAAGTCAGGCTGAAGAAGCAGGTGAGGCCAGATTTTGGAGGGCTTTGAGGATCAATGGAAGTATTTGGACTTAAAGCTATGGTAATATGAAGCTGTGCAAGATCTTTATCAGAAGAGTGATTAATCAATTTGGGATTTGACCAAAGTGGCAGAGCCACTGAATGACATAAAGAATTTTTTATAGAGATTACACCTGTATAGCCTCAGAAGCAGTGAGAGAAACCTATGTAAAGCTGGTACCTCTGTATTTGTTGTTGGCCTGAAGTTGGTATGGGCCCACCAGCTTGGCATTTGGGAAAGAAAGCTGGTTTGAGTGAGGGAGTTTAAGGGTGAAATAGAGCCCTGGAGGCCAAGCTAGAGCGTAGGTCTAGCTCTCACTGTCTTCCAAGTTCAATGATACAGGTGTTCTGCAGGAGAAGTTGGCACCTTTTGCCACAAAGCTGCATTTGGACCAGACTGAAAACAGTGAGAGATGATCTGGCTGGAAATGAACAGGGTGTACTGACAGGTAAGTGTTCCTGTGGCATCTGGTGATGTTTAGGCCTGTGGCAAGGCAGAAACAACATGGTAGAAGGGCATGGCAAGAGAAAGCTGCTCGCCTATGGCAGCCAGGAAGCAGAGGGAGCCAGAGAGGAACAGGTTGGGGACTGCACAGTCTTCAAGTCATGCCTCCATGATGATCCACTCCCTTTAATGAGGCCTCACCTGTTTCTGTCACCTCCCAGTAGAAGTTCAGGTTGACCTTAAACTCACTGTATAGCTCAGGGTGGCCTCGAACTCACACTTGCCGTGATCCTCTTGCCTCAGTTTCCCAAGTGCTGGAATTATAGGCATGTGCCACCATGCCTGCTGTAAAATTATGCTTTAATCAATGGATTGATCTGAAGAAATTAAATCCCTACAATCCAATAGCCTTCCCAAAGTTTGTCCTTTGAATACTTGAACATTTTGAGGACATTTAAAGATCCACCTGAATGTGGTGGCGCATGCCTGTAATCCTAGCACTTGGGAGGCTAAGGAAGGTGGATCACTGTGAGTTCAAGGCCAGTCTGGGGTAAAAGGTGAGCTCAAGGCCAGCCTGAACTACATAGCAAGACCCTGTCTCAAAGCAAAACAAAAAACAAAACATCCAAACCATAACATTTAAGCTCATGCACATATCTCTTGTGGGTAATCCTAAGCAGACCCAGGATGGAAGGAAATTTTGGGAAGCACACTTTATTTGGTTGAACCAGTGCAGAACTGCCACAGAGGAACTAACCAGAGCTTTGTTGAAGTGATTAACCTGGCACAGTCCAAGAAGACTGGATGGCTAAGGCAGAGGAAGCCAGATCTTTAGTAGCTTTTGGGTTGATTCTGCAGAATGGCATGTCGTTAGGCATTCACAAATCTCTTAGTCCTCTTTCCTTCCAAATGTAGTAGCTGTGCTTCTCCTCCACCTTGATGTTAAATGTGCTCATGTGCCTCGTAGTGGACAATGAAATGTGAGTGGAGGGAAGAATGGCCCTTGTGAGTGGAAGCAATGAGTCTGTGCAGACTGTGTTACCTTCCCCTTTCCCTTTGTCATGCTGAGCTGTTTTGGATGGTAACTACTTTGTTGTCCTAAGTCACAGAGTGAAGAAAACGATGCAGAGCAGGACCCCAGCCAAACTCTGATGGACCTGAAGCATGAGTGAGAAACAAACCTTAATGGTTTTAAGCCACCACTTATAGGCAATATAACTTAGCCTGTGCCGGCTGATGGGACATTTTCCTGGAGAGCAGACCTCCCCCAAGCAGAACTGTGACAGCAGCTTTCCTCTGTGTTCCTCAGGCTATAGATGATGGGGTTTAGTGAGGCTGTCACAGCCCCGTAGAGCAATGTGATAATTTTATCCACATCGGGGTCCTGGGCTTTGGGCTTGAAGTACATGAAGGAAACGGTCCCATAGAAAACCACCACCACTGTGAGGTGGGCAGAACGGGTGGAGAAGGCTTTGTGCCGGCGTGCAGCAGAGGGCACCCAAAGGATGGCAACCAGGATGAAAATGTAGGACAGTCAGATGAGCAGGTGGGGTCAGTGTCGAACAGCTGTGGCCACCCTTAGTGTCAGTACGTTGAGGGAGACGCCCCTATAAGCCAGTTTAAGCACTGCCAAGATCTCACAGAAGTGGTTGATGACATTATGGCCACACAAAGGGAAGTGCCAGACAGGGATGGACTGCAGCAGTGAGTTGGCAAAGCCTGTTCCCCAACTCAGCTCTGCCATCTGCATGCATGTCTGCCCACTCATAAGCTCTAGGTACCTAAGTGGGTGACAGCCACATAACGGTCATATGCCATCAGAGCCAGGAGTGTGCACTCTGTAGGGCACAGCTCAGGAAGGAGATGGTCCTTTGGGTTTTCAGGAAGTTAGCACGAAAGGCATGAAGGAGGAGGTGCCACAGATGTCTATGGGGGAAAGGTTGCTGAGAAGCACATGGGATTATATAGGTGGAGGTCCAGTGTGCTCATCCGTATGAGGAGGGAGTTCCCCAGCACAGCCATACAGTAGATGCCCAGGCAAAACACAAACAGGGCCACCTCTAGGTTATGATGCTCACGAAGCTCCATCACAGCTGTCCAGTTGGCCCCATCCATTTCATTCTCTATCCTTTTCCATGTGGACAACACAGCTTTTAGCTGTGACTGGCATGGATGTGTGACCCGCAGCAGCTCAGGCTCGCTCTGTGGCATTTAGCTTCACCATCTGTATAAGGAGAGACTTGGATTTCAGGTCTGTGGCTGCCCTCTCAGCTCTGCTCTTCTGCTGACGTAACTTGGAGAAGGATATTTCAAATTCTGCTCTTGAGTTCTTCACTGTCCTCCCCAGGGGTTGCTTAGAGGAGACAATGGAGTAGGATTCACATTTGACTCACTTCCTTGGAATCTCAAGTGTTATGGGTATTCAAAGGATGAATCTTTTTTAGGTTAGGACTTCATATGACTGAATTATGCCCATATTTCAGATTCATTCATTCACTGACTATTGATTGAGTGCCTCTTTTGTGCTAGGTATTGTTTCAGGTGCTGGGGCTCCACCAGTAAGAAAGAATAAGTGAACAACAGATTCTGCACTTATGCTGCCCCCCTCTTCCTTGACTGAGGTGAGATGTGCTCTGGAAGGCAGGTGTGTGATCATAGATAATCTTGCCTAGTGTCCTTTGGGCCACGAAGATGGAACATTTGGCTCCACAGGATGTGTAAATCATCTCTCCTAAAGGAATCACAGACCATTAATTTTTTAGCTGGGTATGGTGGTGCACACCTGTAATCCCAGCACTTGGGAGGCTGAGGCAGGAGGATCACTGTGAGTTCGAGACCAGCCTGGGCTACATGAGTTCCAGGGCAGTGTCAACTACATAGTGAGACCCTGTCTCAAAAACAAACAAAAATCCCCAAAAAACAAAAAAAAAATTTTTTTTTTTTTTTTTTTGGTACTGGGGATTGAACTCGGGTCCTTGTGATTGCAAGGCAGGCCACTGAACCACTGAGCTAAACCCCTGGCCCTCAAAAGAGTTTTTTTAAAAAGCACATACAAGAACATACACATCCCAATGGAGCTACTGGTCTCAGGATTTAACACTGGCCATGGAAGGCAGTGACTCATTTCTTGGCTTCCATATTGCTTTGTAGGATAAATGCAGTTGGCAGGGATGCCACACAAGGGAACCAGGTGCTAATATGACAGAAGTGTAATCAGTCACTGCCTAACTTTAGAAAGGGAGGAGTGGGGAGAGCTTCACTTTCCTCCCAGGCAGCTGCCACTGCTCTGCTGAGCTGGTCTCACTGCCTCCTTGGGCAGACCATGTCAACTATTTACGGGAGAGAGCCCAGGTGCCTCCAAAGCACAAGAGCCTTGTTAGGACTGGAAAGCTGTCTTATGGTCCATGTGGCCCCTGGTCTGAAGGAGAACTAGGAGCTGAGCAGGAACTTTTATTCTTCATCCTGGGACAGTGATGAAGCCATCTTTTCTCCTAGGGTGAATTTCTCTCCTTATCCATTAATTGTAGCCACCATTTTCAGGGGTCAAAATGCTCACTCTTACTGAATAAACCATGTCTGTTCCCAGCTTAAGACATCAGCCTGTCCTTCCTCCTTCCCAGTGGGCATGGTCCTGCTGCTTTTTTGGATCCAAGCTTGAAATTCCCTCTTCTTTTTGTACCCTCATAGTCCTTGGCTGTCCCTCCAAGTAACTGCGTAGTGTGTGGTGCACCTGTCTTCTCTGCTATACTTTGAGAGTAGAACTCCATCTCCTTCCTTCCTTTCAGCACCAACATAAAGCAATATATGTGATACTGACAAGGTCATTTAGCCTCTCTGAAATTCAGTTTTCCCCTTAAAAATTGGGTTACTATGCAACACAGGGGAAACATGCACATAAAGGTATCTGTGAGCTACCCAGGGTGATACAAGAACATGTCCTTGAGGCTCCAGATGGAAGGCCACATCTTCCGCCACAGGCACCTGCTGGGTCTGTACTTGCCACCTTCCAGACAAGGTTCCTGAGTCTGTCATGACTCTCTCTCCCCTGAGCCTGGGGTGCTTTTCATTCCCTACCCCGAATTAAGGTGACTGTTAAAAAACAGTTCTGGAACATACTGAGGCAGTTGCTTAATCTGGGTCAGCAAGTCACTTTAACCCTTATCCATGTAAACATCTTAAAGGCAGGGGTCTCATTAAACTTGGCAAAAAGATGAAGAACTTCCCAAGTGGAAGAGCTGCCCTCAGATCTACTCACTCAGCTGATGGTTACTAAGCACATACCCGGCCTGTGCTAGGCGTGAACAATACAGTAGACACGCATGACTTTGGCCATCTCGGAATTTGTAGACATTCACTCATTTGGTCTCCGTGACCTTGAACATATCCCTTCTTGTCTTTGGGCCTTAGACCCCTGGGATTATTTTATTATTTATTTATTTGTTTGTTTGTTTATTTATTGTACCATGGATCGAACTTAGGTCCTTGCACTTGCAAGGCGGTTGCCAGAACCACTGAGCTAAATCCCTGGCCCCTCTGGGATTATTTTAGATTCTGCGGTGTAAAGATATTCAAACCTGAAATCTGAAAATAAGATTCCGACAAAGCCTTTCAAAGGCTTTGTCTTTGCTGGGCATGAGGTTACAAAAAGGCTTATATTCATTTCAAATTCTGACACTTGTTTCCAAGCTGGTGAAGGGTGGGAACCTACCTGACTCTACATTTCTCTTTCTCATCTTTGCCTCTCAGAAAAAAGTCCCAAGTGGGAGTGTGAGAGGCTTTTGAGGCCCTTATGCACAGGCTCTGGTCTGGTCTCTTTTGCTACTCCCACTGCACCTTCATGTACACCTGCTCTTGCCTTCCCGGACCACTTCCATGATTTGGACAAAGCCTGCACACTTCAGTCTTATCCGACTTCCCATGAGCCTTCTTCAGGCTGGACTGGCCTTGCCTGCCCACTCATTGCTCAGGGTTCATCTCATACCTATGTTTTCTGTGCTGCCTTCTCAGACGTCTCAGTAGGACTGACCACCCCTATAACAGGATGGCCACTCAGTTGTTAGTACTGATTAACTTAATTCTGCCTGGCATTATGGTTACTTTGTTGCATCTCTCTGATTAGTCTGTGAAACAAATCTGTGCTATTGAAGTGAAAGAGCTATGTGCCATTCATCACTGTCACCTCCAGTGCCCTGCACCCAGGAGTGCCCATGATTAGCATTCAGATTGAACTGATCATTCATTCGGGTTCAGTGCTGCTGTTCTGTAAAAAGCATGATCCCAGTATCTCACTTTGAGATTAACACCCTCTTCCTCCTCCAACACATACCCCAACAGAAAGATTCAGCCTTTGTAATTACCGAGAGCTTTGGGGGCCAGTCTCCTACCTATGGGAACGGCTTCTCTTGCTGGAGGGCTGCATCAGGAGCATGTGGGCTCCCTTGAAATTTAAGGGTCTGATCATAAAATATTCATGGAAAGTAGAATTAGCCCAGAGAAGTCCATCTAGCATACACCATACTCCAGGCTATCAGGAGCTTTGACTCTGTAATGTAGGCACAGGATGGGACATTAGGGAGTGCCGGCACGGGGTGGGTTATGCTGTAGTAACACAGAACCTCATAATTTTAGTGACTTAACGCAACAAAGGTTTCTTCCTTTTTCATGCTACATTACACGGTGGCCTTCAGGGGCTCTACTCAGAGACTGTGGCTGATGAAGGCTCCACCTGTGGTTGGAAAGGGCAAACTGGAGAATCTCCTACAAGCAGTTAAATGCTTAGTCCCGGAAGTGATATACTTCACATCTGCCCAGAAGCCACTAGCTCCTTGTAGTCCTAACATGTGCCCAGAAGGAAGAGAACCAGAAATATTGCTTAGCAGACTTTCTACATTTGGATACCATGGTGTTTTACAACACACTCAGAGAGCTATTCTACCATCTTTCTGCCATGTCATATACTTTGGCATGTTCCAGAAAACCAGATTCACAGAGTGTTTCAGAGAGTAACTGTTCAAATTCACATCTTTGAGAGGCAGGATGATGCGTGGAATGAATCCTGGATGGGGAGGAAGATGTTTGATTCTTTGCTTCTGTTCTGCTGAGTGTCTTTGGTCTAGAGTCTCTTTCTGGGAAACAGAACCATTCAATTCAGGGATCACTTGTGCTCTGTAACTTCCAAAACTTTTCCTCACATCTTTCTAGAAACTTCCATCCCTGGGATCTGACAGACCAGGGTTAGTTTACAAGGTAAATATTATATCAATCTCATTGGCAGGAAATTTAACTTTCACCATTTAATACTTTAGGATTCAGAAATTATCTTGAAAGAAAGGAAGGGGAATGACAAGCAGAGAACTTTAGGTATAGCTTCCCTGAAATGCTTGGATCAGGGCTTCCTTTGCCACTGCTTCCTCCCTGTGTGGCAAGGAGTTGAACATGGGCTTTAGAGCCAGATTGACCAGGGTCCAAGCCCAGCCCTTCCGTTTAATCACATTTTCTCAGCTTCCTTACTTGCAATGGGAGAGAGTAGTATTTCCTTGGAGAAGGGTTTATTTTGAGGATCCAGTGAGATGAAGTAAAGCTCTTAGCACAGAGTCTGGCACGTAGTAAATAGAGGTGGATGATATTATTATCATCATTATGAACCCTTCCCATTATTGTGACTTCCAAATGTTTTAGAAAGCTTTCATGAGAATAACATGCCAGATGAATGCTCCAAATACTTACCTCCAAATACTGGACCAGTCACTGAGGATTATTCAGGGAGCTGGAGCCAGGAGAGTTGACCTGAGGCTTGGGGGAAACCAAGGAGATGTGCTGAGTTCATTACTAGTACTGTGCTAGGATGGGCCAAGTTGAGGGGCCCCAAGGACCAGCCTCCTGGTCCCCTGCCACACAGACAACCTGCTTGTTCCCTGCTCTTGGGGACCTCATAGTCCCTGCCCAATTTAAAGTTCAAACTCTGCAACTACACAAAATAGCAAACTGAGCAACATGGGCTTGAGAAACATGAGAGTCCAGGTACCTTGTCCTGCCACAGGGGTCGCTGCTGGAGTGAGGAGGGCATAGGAGAGATGCTGGACAGGAACCTGAAGACTGGGACTGTTGTAGCCCTGCAGGTTGGAAGCCATAGGTCTCTGTCCTTCAGTAGGCCTGGTATTTGGCCTATGAAATGGGTTATCTCCCTGTTAGGAGGACTTGGATTCATCCAAGTTTAAAGAAATTTAATTGCTTTTATGATGTGAGACTTACTATGTGAGAGAAACCTTTCAAGTCACAAATCTGTTCAAGCACATGATTTTTTTTTTTTTTTTACTGGGGATCAAACTTGGGTCCTTGTGCTTGCGAGGCAGGCAGCGGAACCACTGAGCTAAATCCCTGGCCCAAGCACATAAATTTTTACAAGCTCCTTTATTGCTTTTCCCTCTCCTTCCTGTCCTTTCACAATACAGAATAATGTGACACAGTTTAGATGCTAAAAAACTGTCTTCAGTAAAGCAGATGACATTGCAAATTATTGTAGTACACTGTGATTTATCTTCTGGAATTTTATCAGGAACACAGGTCAAAGTAGAAATCAGAATATTATTAGTACTTATTTTCTATCTTGGGTTTGGAAACCCAAACTCAACAGGTGAGAGACAAATTCATTGTCTCTATCCTGTCCCCATCTGCTGTGCTCCCTGCCATATACTTTCCCACATATTTTATCTCCCAAACATTATTTATAAGTACCTGTCAATATCTCCCAAATATTTCTCATCTCTACCTTCTTTGCTTCACCTTCACTGCCCACCTGGTTCAGATCACATCAAGGGCCTGACTGCTGAAACAGGCTCCTTATCTCCTGCCCCAAACTGTGCCTTCTCCTCTGACATGTACTCTGATAGCCCATGAAGATATGAAGGTAATTGTTTTTTCCCAGTACCAGGGATCGAACTCAGGACCTTGTTCTTGCAAGGCAGATGCGTTGCCACTGAGCTAAATCCCCAGCCCCCGATCTGACATGTACTCTGGAGTAAAGCGCTCTCCTATTTCTTAAAATGAATAGCATTTTTAAAAAGTTTATAGTCATGTTCATTTTAGAAATATTGCACACTATTGAAAATAAGAGAAGAGTACTTATCTGCAATCCCATCACCCAGAGAATATAACTGTTAGTCAATATTTTGTTATAGTTTTCCATGATTTCCTACACACATGTATGAAAAATGCCTTAAAATTATAAAATTAAGAAGATACTGAATATCTTCATATATTTTCTATTAATTTTATTATGAACATTTTCTGTCATCAAAGTCTTAAAAAATTTTAGTGGCTGTATCAATCCAGTTATTGGACTCCACCAGGATTTACTTAAAAATTCTTTTATGGTTGGACATGAATATTATTATGTTTTTGTTACTATAAAAACTAACTCTGTGATTAATATCTTTATATATAAATCCTTGTACCCCTTAGATTAGAGTCCTATAAGCAGCAGTGTGGAGTCCAAGTCTGGACATTTTTAAGGCTCTTAATTCATATATCCTTTCTTTGCAGGAAGATCATAGTCATTTATCCCCAACTCCCCAGCAGCATATAACACTGTACTTTACCTGACAATAGATATGATAGTGAAAAAACTCTTCAGTGATTGTTTGTGATCGTAAAAAATGGGTAGAGGAAGATTGTATCCAACCAGTGACTCTTCTGAGAGTAAACCTGACTGTGACCCCCAGGGCCACAGGATAAAGTCCACACTCCAGTCACGGGTACCCAGAGCCCGGCAGGATGGCTGGGCCTTGGGCAGCCTTCACTCAAGAATGGTCAGAAAGGCCTGAGAGTCTGAGTGACTGTGAGCCACTGAGAATGATGATGGCTTGTCCTCTATGGCTCTGTTCTGATTCACACAGGGAGTAGGCAGGAGGCCTGGGAGGGAAACTGAGCTGAGCTGTGCAGATCTTCAGTCAGTGGACAGGAGGACTGGACTCCTGCTTGGAGGCCAAACAAGCCCAGCTCTCCCACAGAACCAAGGCCACTGAGGCCAGAGCAGGAGAGGAAGTGAAGCACTTTGGTACTCCAGGTCTGTTTCTGCTATGTGCTCACTGCATTCTTAGAAAGAAAAGCTCAAAGAGGCTGAACACCAGGCAGGGGCAGCCTATGGGAGAATCCCAGAAATGAGGATGAACCCAGGCTCTGCCATCACCATCCTTAAATTGCCATGTTCATATATTTCTGAAACTTGTGCAGGACCTGAGATTGAGTAGTTCTGGATGCCAGGACAGAAGTGGGATGGGATGCTCTGCACTCTTGGAATAGCACTGGAAACAAAGATCATGAGAGGCACAGTGAGAGGAGCAAAGCAGGGTGGCTTCCTGGTGCAGGTGGCATGGGGCTGAGCCTGAAGGGTTAGGTGGCTCTTTTGCCCACGGAAGGTGTGTTGGGAGGAGTGCTTTGTGTGGACAATTCAAGAAGAGTTCAGAGCTGGGCAGTGCAGGGAAGGGTGAGGCTTGGGACAGGAGACTGGGGAGCTGGTCAGGCAGGGCCACCTGTAGGGGGCTGAAGTGCCCCTGCAGAAGAGTGCCACTTTGTCTTGGGACAGTGGGGAGCTGTTTGTGAGTTTCAGTGGGAAGAGTGATGGGATTTTATGAGCTTTTGAAAATGATCCCTCTGAATGCTACCTGGAACATAAATTGGAAGGAGGAGTAAGACTGAAGTCTTAAGAGCAGCGGCCCAGGGAGGGAGGCTGTGTTTGGACCTGAGGCCACAGCAAGGCAAAGAGCAGAGGGCAATTTGTGAGCTACTCAGTGGCAGAATTGGTGGAACTTGGTATTGCCTTTCTGGTTTGGATTTACCTGGAGCCCTATGCTCTGTCCCACACGGACACTGGCAATGATGGCCTCACTTAGCTGAGCTCTGCCCTCCCTCACCTGCAGGCTTGTCTGCTGCCGAATACCTTCTTGGCAGCCTCCTTCACCTCCTTGTTCCTCAGGCTATAAATGACAGGGTTCAGCATGGGTGTAACCACAGCGTAGAGGACTGTGAAGACCTCATCAGAGATGTGGGCCTCCTTGCTCTTGGGTTTCATGTACATGAAGATGACGGTGCTATAGAAGAGCAGCACCACAGCCAGGTGTGCTGAGCAGGTGGAGAAGGCTTTGTGGCGCCCTGTGGCCGAGGGCACCCTCAGGATGGTGGTCAGAATGAGTGCGTAGGACAGGCAGACGAGGGCCAGGGGCACTGGCAGCAGCAGGATGGCACCCACCAGCAGGAAGTCCTCGCTGACCGATGTGTCACCGCAGGCCAGTTTCAGCACTGCTAGGATCTCACAGGTAAAGTGACTGACCACGTGGTGGCCACAGAAGGGCAGCTTCATGGCGATGACTGTCTCAGTCACTGACTTGATGAGGCAGAACACCCATGCGGCTCCTGCCAGCAGCAAGCACAGCCGGTGGCTCATGAGCATGGGGTATCTGAGCGGTTGGCAAATGGCTAGATAGCGGTCATAGGCCATGATGGCAAGCAGCAGGCACTCTGTGGAGCCCGTGGACAGGCTCAGACACATTTGGATGGCACAGCCAATAAAGGAGATGGTCTTCTGTGGTGACAAGAGGTGAACCAGCATCAGGGGCACAAAAGTGGATGTGTAGCAGATGTCCAAGATGGAGAGGTTGCCCAGGAAGAAGTACATGGGTGTATGCAGGCGGGCGTCTAGCGTGCTCACTGCCACAATGGCCATGTTCCCCAGAAGGGTAACCAGGTACATGGCTGAGCACAGAGGGAAGAGCACGCGTTCCAGAGCTGGGTAGCCTGAGAATCCCTTCAGGAAGAACTCAGAGACCACTGTTCCATTGACAGGCTCCATGCTGCAAGCTCTGCAAGGATGCAGAGCTTGGAGAGAAGGAGAGAGGATGCTCATAGTGGCAGCTCACTGAGCCTCTTCTGAGACTTGAGGGATGGCTAGGGCCTTTGTCAGCTCAGACACACACTCTCTGTTTGTGACTTTGGGGAATTCCCATCACCCTCTCTAGGACTCAGTTTATCCATGTGAAAAATGAGGGTTGATTTAGATCCGCATTTCCCTAAAAGAATGTTAATGGAAGCGTGAAGAAGCAGTGTGAAAAATCACTTTTCAGCAATGCTAGATTAATAATTAACAGTCCTCTTTACTGCAGGACTTTACTGCAGAACTTTAAGAATGCTAATGTGATTTATGATTTTTTTAAAAAAGCACTGCAGATCATGTGCTCCCCATATTTATTTGACTCTGGATCTCCCTTTCACAGAATACCACTTAACGTACTGCAGATAAGTGATCTGTGGACATAGTTTGGGGACCAATGGTTTGGACCAGAAATCCTCAAATTTCCACATGTACCAGAGTCACCTGAAAGTGTTAAAACACAGATTGCTGCCTCCACTCCCAAAGCTTTTCTGACTCAGTAGATCTGAGTGATGCTATTGCTGGCCAAGGCACTATGCTTTGAGAACCCCTGGGACAGACAGCCTCAGGATCATCTTTTGAGGCAGCCCTGAGTCATTGCTTAAACTGTTCCCACTGTCTGGAAAGTCCTTCCCATTGCATCTCAGCTGCAGAAGAAGAAGAGCTGGAAGTAAGAGGCATGCATCATCCCAGAGGCACAAACAGGGTCACAGAATGCAAAGGAAAGAGGCTCGGGCTGGCTTGGCAGGGACAAAGAAAGGCTCCCCAGGGAGGTGCCATACATAGAATTTGGTCCAGAGACAGGGGAAGGCAGGAGGAACATTGTAGGCTCTGCAGACAAAGCTCCCTGCATGCCTCTGACTTCCGGCCTGTTCCCCATCCATGCCAGCCTACAAGGATATCATTTCCTTTCCCCACTTCTCTCAGATTCTGAAAGCCAAATTGAGGTCCCACCCTGTGTAAAGTCAACGTCATCTTGTCTAATTGTGACTTCCTGAGGCTAAGGCAAATTGAATGGAGAGCTTGTTGCCAGACATGGGTCACTCCCAGCCTAGCTGACAGCCTGGCAGAGCTGGGCAGGGTCATACAGCTCAGCTGGACCACTCCCTTGTTATGCATGGGCAATCTGAGGCCTGGAGAGGGTAAGAAGCTTACCCAATGAAGCACAGTGAGTTAGAGGGGAAGCCAAGGCTCTAGTGGTTCTTCAGGGTGCTAGACTCCTTTCTCTGCCTCCACATCCCCATTTGTCACTTACCTTCAGGTTCTTCTAGATATGTACCTTTGGCTTCCTAGAAGATGTTCAGAGCATTGGAGACCAGTGATTTCCTTTGGATGGAGCCAGGAACACACAAATCAAAGATGCCCTCGCTGCTTCTCTATACAGGGCATCCTGGTGGGCACGACCCAGAGCTTCACTCCAGTCCAGCTCTCCAAACTGAAAATAGGCTTAGACTTTCACGGGATTCTAAGAAGTGTGTGCAACTTGATAGAATAAAGTGGAGCTTTTAAAACTGGGCAGAATCAGTGGGGCTCTATAACATGTGTTAGATTTTGTAGAACTAGGACATTCTGGTGGGCTCAATGCTGAAGAAGTCTCCAATAGCTTCTGTGGGCATGATGGGACCCCTGGCCTGAGCAGCTCCCAGCTGCATTCTGGCTGACAGCCTCAAGGAGAATGGGCTGGCCAAACAAGCAGTATCTTTCAAAGCTCCCTGTGCACTAAGGGACTGTATAATCCCAGTGCAATTTAGAGGAAGGAGAGAAAATGCACCCAACTTAGAAACTTTGAGGTGTTCAGGGATGCTGTCCCAAAGACCCAATTACCCAGAGTCTGTTTAGAGATCTTAATTGATGTGGAGAAGTTGGAGAATGTACACAAGGAATAAAGGAATGGATGGATGATTGAGTAAATGAATGTGCAAGCAAATTTCAATGAACAGATTAAAAAAATGAATGAGTGAGTGAATAAATGATAGGCAGAGTTGCTTTCCAAGTGGCAAGTTACAGGTCCTGGCCCAACTCCCATAGAGATCTCACAAACATGCAAAAGCTGGAAAGAGTGACCGGGATGAAAAGACCCAAAGAAAATAGTAGAATAGCAGAGCAGGACAGTCCTTAAAGGCCATCTTGACCAATACACTGTACAGACAGAAGACTGCCCTAAAGGGGAATAAGTTCAGTGTGAATTAGTGAGGCAGAAACACAGCACTAGTTCACCCTGACACTAATTATTTCAACTTTGAGCCATATTTCCCTTAGCCAGTGCAGAGCTGATTGCCCAGTATAGCCCATGACTGGCTTCCTCCATCTTCACCTGTCCCTCTTCCCTGCACTCAGAACATCCATCCTGATGGCTTCTCCTTGAGGTTCCTTCTAGTTTTCAGAGTCTATGCTACTTCAGACTTTGGGGCCTCTTTAAAATAGTGTCATGGGTCTGGCTCAATGATAGAGCATTTGGCTGGCATGTGTGATACCTGTCACCACCTGGGTTTGATACCCATCACTGCAAAAAAGAGAAAAAAAATCATAATGTCATTTTTTTGGATCTAGGCATTATCATTAGATTTTATTCATTTTATTTTTTATCAGCACATGTATGAAGTAATATTTACATTCCCTGTGTGGAGTTGGCACATGTACAAAACAAATCTTAATTCCTTTTTTCATCCTCTTCTCCTTCCCTTCTTCCCTATTCCCTCCATCTCTTGGTCCTCTTTCCACTGACCAAAGTTCTATTTCCTTACTTCCTATGATCTATCTTTTGTTTTGCCATTAATTTATAATGTGAGTTTCTCATATAAATCATGCAATATTTAGCTTGTGTGTCTGATTTATTTCACTTAACATAATGGTCTGAAGGTGCATCCATTTTCCTACAAATGACTCAAAGTTATCTTTCTTAATGGCACAGCACTCCATTGTGTGTAAATACTACATTTTCTTCATCCATTCATCTGTTGATACATATATAGGCTGTTGACAAGATTAAGCCATTATGAATTGTGCTTCTATAAACATGGGTATGCATGTATCACTGTAATATGTCTTTTTTTTTAATTGAGTTTATTGGTACAATCTAGGTATACAATACAATTACATTCATCATTGGGATTCTGTACCTTTACATAAGAGGTCTTGATTCTCATTTTTCCCCTTGTCCCTGCCCTCCCTTCAACTCCCTCCTCCCCTCCCCATTTACAAACACTTTATTTCCATATTTTCAGTTTCTCATATTTTTTTCCTCTCCCTTATTACCTTTCCCCCACCCTTCCCACTTTCCCTACATGTTTAGCCCTTTACTTCCTATTTCACATTATTAATTATCTCATTAGGATCCTGTGTACTATTATAGTTTTTCACACCAAAGAAACTATTCGGTATTTCAGTTAAAGAAATCTCTGTTTGAACATTAAAAATAGGGAATCCTAAAATAAAACTAAAAAGTAAAAGAGAAAAGGCAATGATGTAGGATTTAAATAATCCTTAATTCTGGAGATGAAAATGGTCCCTGAACATATTTAAATTGCTTCTCGCTCTTATAGTCTTATCTTATTATTTTCTTCATTATTTAGAGAATACTTTATTAGTTTCTGTAATCAAACCCACGTAGATATGACCTTACATATTTAGTACGATGTGTTACCCCTGTACACGTAGAAAAAAAAATAAAAATAAAAATAAATTAACATTTCTAGACGAATATGGTTGTCCACTTCTGTACAATGCCAACTCAACACAGTAAATTGGGATGACTTTTTCCAAAGTTGGCAGCACTGTTAAAGTTTCCCAAAATTCAATTTATATATATCTGTATATATATATATATATATCTGTATATATATACAGATATATATTTATATAAAAAGACTAATAATAGCATGTTA